AATTGATGCTTCATCATCCACATTTGGGATCCAATGCCTTGTGTAACACATGTTACTGCACCTTTAACTAATTTCTGAAACATTTCACCTCCCCTTTTCATTTCCATGCAATGAACACAATCACTCATGCTCCCTAGCTGAAATACCACTCCATTTTACCCTCCATACTTTGCATCATTGCTCCATTTTCATCCTTGGACCATTGCACACCACAAATTCACCCTCCTTGCTGTGCATTTCCCCACTGCCTAATCTGATTCTCTAAGGTTTTTGGGGCCTATATATACATGTTTACAACCCTTGGCAAAGGGTTGAACCTCCCATATTCATCATTCATGCAGAAAATTCGTCCATACTCACCTAGGCAGCAAAACACCCCAAAAACACCATTCTAGTGCCCAGAAAACATAACAGCCACTTCACCTTATTCCACCATCTTTGCCGAGTTCTCTACCACCTTCCAACCATCAAACACTCCTCCACACTCACCCTAAACCTTTCCATATCATTCCCCATCCATTCTACACCATAAAACTACCCAAAACCTGTCCATAACCCAATCTGCCGCAAGCAAGGGAAAGGAGGAATCTTGGATGCACTTGCTGCCAAGTTGGAGCATTCTAGGTGTTTTCTTTCTTTGGATTTTAATGTCTAATTCATGTAATCTTTGTTTTGCTTTAAGTATGATTGGCTAATTTCGTTTTTGGCTAAGGGTGTATTCAAAACCATGATTATATATGTGAAATGAGTTGATTAATTCCAGTTATTGTTACATAAGTCGTGAATACAATTTGCTTAACTATTTGATTTAGAACTTATTCTTGTATGTTGATTGAGAGTGCACGCTTAATTTGCATGCTTGAATTTGATGCTAGGATATAAATTTGTTTCACCTAATCGTTATGAATTTATATTCGTAAGTAGTGAAGGTCATTAGTCACGATCGTGTTAAGTAGATTCCTGGCAAGAGTATCATGCTTTTCATAGTTACAAATGCCTTGTCAATGCTTATGATTTCCAAAGAACGTAATGATTCTAACTTGTGTCTTTATCATGCTGTTCATATAAAGAACTTGTTAGGAATAATTTGTTTGCGATGCATATTCATCCAATTCAATGATCCTAGGGAAATCTGAAGGTTAATTTAAGCGGACCTAATTAACTTGGAGTGTTGAGGTTCATAACTTATTGAATTGATAACTGGAAATTGATTTACGTTGCATATATTTCATGTGTGGAGAAGAACCCCTTAGCCATTCCATCATCCATTGATTCTTCATAACTTTGTATTACAATCTGTTTCTCTTACAATCTGCCATATAAGTTTATTTTCGTCCAAATCAAATCTCCAATTATTTTGAATTCCTAGATTAATTGGAAAGTGTGTTGGTTTATGTTTTTAAGTGTTTTGGTACAAGTTAAAACCCAAATTCGTCCAATTTGATGCTTTATGTTCAAAGCTGCCCAGAAAGTGGTTTTTAGGCAGTTTTGAGTGTTTGGTTGCTGTTTTGATTCTTTTGGTTCGAGTGTTTTAGAGTTTAGTTTTGCATTCTTTGAGTCTAATCTAGTGCTTTAAACTTTGTTTTTACATTTCTAAGTCAGTTTTCAAGTGTTTAGCAATCCCTCCTAATCCCCGGTCTAGAACGATCCCTATTTACATACTTTGCTACAATTGATAAAAAGAGGGTTTAATTTTGTGTGTTAACTTATTTTTCACATCAATACGCAGTGCTGCATCTTTATCAATAAATCAACGGCGAAGTAGATGTTTTGTCTAACGTAATGAGCTAAATACAACAAAACGCAAAGTTGAACTCAAATATGGAACTTCGGATTCCATAAACTCTTCAAGGGTCTCATTCCTATTCCTAAAGGTTCATAAGGCCCTCGTTCAGTCACTCACTACAAATGGATCTGGACGACCTCTAAATCTAACATCCGTCAAGTCGGATTACTGGTGAATGCCTGAACTTTCTTACTTTATAGTAAATTTTTGTTTATATTCCAGTTTCCTTGCTGCCATTGTTCTAGGATTTCAAGCTTTGTCATTCAGGCATACTTTTATTATATTGGCATGATGTATAGCTTCTCACTGGACAAATAGAGAAGGTCTGTAATCTCTGTTAATATTCACTATTTTCATTTTCCTCTCCTTTAGTTTGGTTGCTTTCACAATATTAACTTTTGGGTTATTGGTTGTGGCAGTATTTCATTTGTATAAGATCGAATGTTTTGGGTGTTCAATTACCAGTTACAGGTACGTTTGAATAACGTGATTTCTTGACCTTCATTTGAAGTTTTCTATTGAATGTTTAATTGGTAGAGAAGTGTGCCGTAAGAATTTTTTTCCCGCTTCTAATGAAATTCATCAATCTCCCCTTTAACAGTTGCGGGTTCCTCTGTCAAAATTAAGCACAAGGGAAGGACATCCAGAGAAAAAGTCGTCTTAGCATACAACAAGGTTATCATTTTTAGCTAACATTTTTATTGTGCTATTTTTAGTTTACTGCTGATATGATTTTCTTTTAGTTTTTAGGAATGTGAGAAATAATTTAAATCTTTTATTAATTTGATTATTCGTTATGTTGGTATATGTTGGGTGACTAATGCGGACTTAGAGTTGTAATTTTACTGTGACCTTTTTTTTAGATAAATCATTAGTTTTCTCTTTGTATATTGAGGTAGTCTTTTTGTGTTGTTTATTTACTCAGTTTGATAACATTTTAAATGATGTATTCATATCTGTATTTTTCTGCTATCGTTTGGACATAAAGTTCCATTTTTTTGTGGCATTTGCGATATAGGAGATTGATAGAAACATCAAATTTTGCTTCATTTTGTTTATGTGCTCTTCTCTTTGCAAGTTCAGAGGCTTACAATTTGTTAACTAAAAAAATTAAAATAAATGTATCTTGACAAGTACAAACGTACAAATTAAAATTAACCATTATATGTCGTACGTTGTAATTATGAGAATGTCTCTTAATGCGTAAACAAATGTAAAAAGGGGGAAAAAAAATGTCACACGCCAAGCATAGCGCGCGTAATATAAAAAAGGCATTTCGCACGCGAATGAGCGTGTGTAGAAAGGCTAGCTATCTCTAAAACGAGTACAATGACTAGGTTTTAGGAAAGTTGTTGCTATTTTTTTGGTGAACTGGTCGGAAGACAGTCCTTGTGGTATAAAACAAAAAAAAATTTAGGATTTAAGCCCATGTGGTGACGTATTTTAGGATTTAGGCACAAAATTGAAAACTCCGTTAACTTTCCGTTAATTATTAGCAGGTGAGCACACATATGAGGATAAAACGAAACTCTTCATTAATTGTTAGCACGTGAGACTTACATGCGAGGCTAACTTTATCTTTTTAGCCTCATAGGTGAGCTTCATGTGCTAATAATTAACAAAGAGTTGACAAAATTTTTAATTTTGGGTTTAAATCCTAACAAACTTTATCACAGGGGTTTAAATCCTAATTTTTTTTACTACAAGGGCTATCTTTGGATTATCCTATCACTACGCGGACTATTAATCTAATCAAGCCTCCCTTTTTTGTGATGAAAAATTCCTAAATTATGGGAGTGGCATATCTTGTAATTTTTGGTACAAAAAGAAAGTTAGTTATCATACATGTGGCACAAAAATTGTAGAATAAAAGTTTAATCAAATCTTAAAAATGTATACATGTTTAGTCTAAAAAATTCAAAAATCAGGTGTCTAGATTAAAACTCTCCGATTAAAAGTTCTACCAACATATCACCTGTGAAAACGTGGATAGATCGTAGAATCTAAATCCAACAAATAAACAACCTTAATTAAAAAGAACAAATGACACACGATATTTCTAATACACAATGAGAAAAATCCATGGCACTAGCCGGTTAAAAAATCCACTAATTAAGAAATAAGAACTTTTACAAGACTCAAAAAGGTAGACACTACACTTGGAAGTTCTCTCTTGTACTTTTGTTCTTGTAGCACACTGTCCTTCCCTAGCTCTCTTTTGGATGAACACAGCGCACTCAATAGGTCCTCCTCACAAACAAAAAGGTTGCACACAACTTCGTCATAAAGATGAACGATATGATATAATGGAACGATATGCAATGCATGAAGAGTTTCACTAAGATCACTCTTCTAACCTAACACTCAAGAACTTTCCTTTAAAACATTTTACGCTCAAGTCTTATTTCGGTAATATGAATATAATCTTTTCTGCCAAGAGATATAGAAGCCTTCAGCCCTAAAACCCTAACATGATAAAATGCCTAGGGCAATATGGCTAAGAAACAAGCCTTAATTGAAATGACCCAAACAGACAACTTTTTGAAAAGATTTAGTCTTGATTCAATTAATCGAATTTGCAAACTAAATGATATTTCACTAATAAAAAACAAACATGTTAATCAACACTTAATTAATAATCCAATAATCTACAACCACATTTCGACCAAAAAAAATAAAATATTAATCATCTACAACCACATCATTTAGTTTGCAAATTTAGTTTAAAAAATCTGGTCTTCCTCATTACCCTAAAATTAATTGATTTCCTACGAAACCAACAACCTAGAAGAAAGGAAATTAGAATTATATATTTAAAAAATCTAAATAAAATTGATTTTATTTGCTAAAACTAGGCATTTAAACTGATCTCACAATCTGAAAGATATGCAATGATGTGATTCTACATGCTACTATTTACGAAATATGATCGTCCAATATATGCCTTGATGTGCATGTCTTCAATACTTGAATCTAGAAACTACGACACACTAAAAATCTAGAACTAATCTATTACAACTGTACAGCCCATATGGTGACGGCGTACATTTATAAGCATGGCCGGAGTTTTGACTAAGATGAGTTAAGACCAAAATTACATTTTAATATCTTAACTTTTTTTTTATTCGAATAATATTTCAATAATCTTGTTTAACTACAATTACAGTGTTGTAGCCAACTTGGCTACACCTAGTCCTGAACTCTCTACAACCAGTTACCACTCAGAAAACATGGAGTTCCCATCCACATAAGAATCCAAGTCAGCCTCCATGATCTTCTTCATCAGCAACGCCGCCTTCTCTCGTGCTCTCCCCGACCCTCTAACCGAAACATCAGCCACCAAAGTTGAGAAGTCCGGCAGCCTCAAAGCGTCTCTTACGCAGCCCTCACTTTCATCAAACAGGAGCAGCATGATTTCAGCTGCACCTTCCTTACTCAGCATGCACCTCCCTTTGAACACTTGTACCATTGAGCTCACAATCTGGTCAGTTTTGCGCAAAGCATTCAGCCCTTCATCAAACCTAGCAAGAAGGCCAAGAAACAGGAGAGAAGTTCCGGCCAGATCCTCGCCGTCACTTCTCCCCACCACTTGGATGAGCGCTTCAACAGCTCCTTCTTTCACTGCCAAAGCGCAGTTCCCGTGGAACTGAACAAGCTCAGCTAGAGAGCTGAGGAGGTGATGAGCAGCAGGACTGCCAGACCCGGAAATGGCCTTGACTAGTAACTGGATGGTACCTGCTACGCCAAATTTGGCCTTGTTCTTGTCAAGCATTGCCAAACTACAAACCAGAGAGGAAGCTACTCTGCCGGACTCCGTCGAGGTCAAGGAGGCAATTATCGAATTCAGGTGGTAAAGCAGAGATTGCTTCAGATCAGGGTTCAGGGACAGGTTGAAGAGGACAGACAACGAGAGAATCTGAATGTTGTCGGAGGAAGATTTCGAGAGCGCAAGTAAGGCTGGGATGGCTCCTTCTGTCTGTGCAACCAAGTTCCTGTTTTGGGAACTCACCTTGGTGATGGAAACTAAAGTGTGAAGAGCCTTCAGCTGCACTTCAGGAGAGTCAGACTGAGTCTCCGAGAAGCACTGCCTAATTGCCTCGCATATCCGAGGAGCTGACATTGTTGGGAGAGTAGTGGTTTCAGAGCAGGGGCAGGCACGCTTAAGCAGTCTTCAGGGTTGAAGCTTTGCATACAATTACCATGAAAACGATCACACACAATTGAGCCTTGAGACAAAAATTAGATGATTCCAATGCTTAGTCAAATTCTTTGGATTAACCTCCAAAACTCTTTGGTCTTGGGGTCCCATAAGTAGCAGTTTTGGAGCATATTCCAAAGGCCAGAGACATTAAAATCCACAAATTGTATCCACTTTACCCCTCTTTTTATTGTCTTCGACATCAAAATACCATTCAGTACAATGAAATGATTTCCGCACACCCTTTTTTCCCTTCACACCCATGTTTACTTTTGCTCATTGATTATTATTTGATTTATTGAACGCAAAGATAAAAAATAAGTAAGGGGAAGAAAGTGGCGTGCAGTGATCACTTCCCAGTATGAAATAAGAGAAAAGAAGAAAACGATTGGAGCAACACAAGTTTCTAAACTGTTAATGTTGGATTTTGACACAACAGCATCCTCGAATGGCTAAATACAAAGACAAGATTATGAGATGTATTACGATTAACACGTAGTCATTAATTTTTATTTTAAAACAATCTACTCAATCATTTTGATCTTCGTACACAATTCAAAATTATCAGCCACTCAAACGAATCCAGTTCTAATGAACTGACCATGAAACCAAAATTATCACCGACAGAAAAGTCGAACACAATCTCTTAAGAACGACGGATCACCGAAAAACAAACCAGAAAATAATTATTGAAGCTACAAAGTATAAAAGACTGCCCTCCCCCAAAAAAAAAAAAAAAAATCATGTAAATCAAATTTTTATTTGCGCAAGAAACCTGTCAGCCAGATCAATGGTGACCATCTGGAGGACCTCCTTTGCCAACCACTTGCAGCTGTTAAAAGTTTATCACAAATTGGATCAGTCAATTTATTCAAGCACCAGTTCATCTATATACTACGATGTATAGAGAAAGAAAGAAAAGACTTTGGACACGAAGAGGGATAAAAGGAAAAAGGAAATAGTCAGACTCAGCAAGTCACCTTAAAAACTTGGGTACAGACGGGGCATTCGTATGGCTTTCCTTTCTCCAGCCAAAACCACACGACATCATGCTCATCATCTGCAAACATAAATGTTCAGAAATTACAGTTAACCGTACCTTTGGAATGACTTGATTTGACCAGCATGAAAAAAAATTATGCATCTAAATGGAGAACTTTACCTCCTCCCTCAATACCAGGGCATCCGACTATTCTTTTGTCATAGACAGACTTGACGATCGCAGGTGCTTCCTATGACATAGAAAGTACGGTAAGATTAGTTACATGAGAAAGTTGATTGAAGACGACCACATATTTCCAGTTAAACGGAAGATGTCGTGCACAGATTTACACACTTTCACATCCATTTGACGTGTACATAAGGAAATGAGAGGCAGAGTGCAGGAAGAGATTTGATATTGATAAGCAAAAGTTTTTATTCCTTCAATGAAAAGACAGGATCCCGCAATTATTAGGAACTTGAAGAACAACCATGAAACCATCGATCCATCGCTCTTTGGCGGTTGAAAGAAGATTAAGACGATTAGTACTACTTTTGGTAAGCGAGATGCCCATGGCAAGAGATGGCGTAGAACGGTGAAACACAAAATCTGGCAACATTAAACTTGCAATCATGGTGCAAACCACATTTATCATGTATACTTGCGAATGATGCAGCAAGAACAAGTCAGAAACTCTCGAAGATCCTTCCTATATACCGACTAACTATAACAAAAATGAAATCCAAGAGATGAAATAGAAGGACTACCTTGGTACCGAAAGGACCAACAGGATAATTGATTTCAAGAACGTCCCTTCCCTGCATATAATGAGATTAGCCAGTAATTAAGCAAAACTCTCGTATCTTTATAGAGTTCGATACAAATCACAACCCAACAATCGTAATTATCAACCTCAAGCTCGGCAGCAAGTTCCTCAAGCTCGTGACCGGTAGCAGTCGGATTAGCTTCCTGAGGGTTTTTCTTCAGAGCTTCATACACCACAAAAAGAATATAAATCAAACGCATTATATATAAAATCTCCAATTCTTGAGACCGCTCAAAGTTTCAAATTTTGAGCAACAAATTAATCACAACCATTAGCGGGTAATCCGCCTTCTCATTTCGTGAGATCAGAGAATTCTTAACGTGCCTACGTTTTCCCGGGAACCAAACAGAAAGCAACAACCTAATCGAGATCAGAACAACGTATAAAAAACCCAAGGAACTGGAAACTCACGGGAGGTGGAAGCGGAGGCAATGTGGGGAGCGGCGGGAGGAGCGGACTTGGGCAACGGCGTAGACGAAGGGGAAGACGCCGAGGAGATTACGAACCTACGGGTGTGATTGAGAGACGAGGATCTGCGTGAGGCTGAGGCGGCGATGTTTTGGAGCTGGGCAGAGGAAGTAGATGCCACGCGCCTCCACATTTTCGCGGTGCGTCGTATTTGTTGGTGGTTTTTGACTATTTCTCCTCTGCCGAGTGCGGGGGTGCGATTGCCAAATTTTGTACGCGCGAGTCACTGAGAAACTCGACAACCGAGGATTTGCCGCTATTTATGGAAATTTGGTTTGTCGGGTCGGGTCAGTTATTAACATTTTGTATCGGGTAAAACTTGTAATTACCAGTTTACCACTGAGCTAAAAAGTATTTTTGTTGGATACTAAGCTAAGGTTGGGCAGTGTTTTTTTGATAAACAGGCTAGGCAGTGTTTGGTTCGTTCAAACTAGTTATTATATCTTCAATCTTTAATTCTTGTCTTCAATATCTATTTTGATTAGATTAAGGATTATGAGATTAGTCTACAATACCTACATGTATTCAGTACAATCACAATTTCGACGATCATATGGTGATTCTATTAAATAACATCAATTACAAATAACCGTTATAAATGTATTAAATACATGTAAGTATTTTAGGCATTGTTTAGTTATTGCCTATTTGCCCAAGCGGTACATTTCTCCTCCCATTTGAATTTGGGTCCAAGGCCTTCGGTGCATTCCTCTATGTGTAATTGGGTGTCTTTGTGTGTTTCTTCCATTCCTGCTAGTCAAGAAACTCTCTGCTATGGGATGGCAAAGTTGAAAGCCCGGCATTGGTATTGTCATTTAACCAAAGTGCATCTTGATGAATTCACCAAGGCTAAGCCTGCATTCCAATCTCTACCTATACAAGCTTCGTCCCTCTGATGGCCCCCTCTAGGTGGGCTAAAGAATAATGGGGATGGTTCTTTTATTGCTGCTACGAATCTGGGAGGTGTAGGTACGGTATTTCACGGCGAAGCAGATAGCTATGCTGGAGGTTTTGTTCGTCAAATATCCCCTGCATCAAATACCACGATGGTAGAATTGCTTCTTGTTCTCGACGGTGGTGTTGGGCTATGTAATGGAACTTGCCGAGGATTATGAGAGTGATTCTTTACAGGTTGTTCAAGCTATTGGTTGTCTTAAGCAGGGGCCTTCTCCCATGGATTTATTAGTGGAGGGCATCAGAATTAGCTTAAGGGTATTCGAAGCTTCGCATATTTGATATGTTCGTTGATCCACCAATGTACCGGTACACCGTATGGCCAAGTTGGCTACTTATTCGAACTCTGGTTTTTGTTGGTTCAAGGAACTGTATGAGCTTTTTCCAATTCAAATAAATCAACTATCGTTTCTCTTCAAAAAAACAAAACAAAAAACATAAAATAAATAAATAAGTCAAATCTACCAAATGGAGTGAGAGGACTCAGAAATGCTTCTGGGTCGAACATCGAATAACGGAGTAAACAGTAAACATACTTCAATCTTAAATTTGCATTTCCATCAAATTTTCTAAACACCGATATGCCAAATTCATATTTTTCAAAGTAATAAATAACGACCAAACCCCCGAGACTAGAAACCCTCAAAACCTGAAAAAGCCAATTATGAAAAAAGCACATTCCAAAGTACAGCAAAACCTGAAAAAGCCAATTATGAAAAGCACTTTAGAAAGTATAACAAATCATACGAACTCGAATTAATGAGGCACAGAAATATGATGATCTAGCAGCACAAGATCCACAATCCTCACGGGTGAAATCCACCTACAATTAAAACAGCTTCAACGATATCACGTCCCTCAAAGTACCCCAAGTAATACTCATTTCTCAACACCGGTAAAATCTATCAATGGCCAACTCCATCAAAAGTGGATCAAAACATCTCCGTTGCTACTACGATGTCATCATTTTACCCTCGACTAAGGGGAAACATCATCGTACGAAACCAGGCCCTTCTTCCCTTTTGGGCTTCCTGACGATGACCTGGACCTGCTTTTGCCCGTCCGAATTGGGGATCTGGAATCCAATGAGGACCTTGATCTCGACCTTGATGGGCTTCTGCTTCTTGATGAAGATCTTGCCCTCTCAACCCGAGGAGAGACGTGTGATCTACCCACCTCCACTGGAGAACGACTGCGGCTCTGAATGGGGCTACGACTTCGCACTGGGCTACGACTCCTGATGGGGCTACTGCTACGACTATAGTTTCGGCTGCGGTAACGAGGGCTGCGTGATACTGGACTTCTGCTTCTTCTGCTTCTGTATCTGCAGATATGAGTTAAATGGAATCACCCGTCTCTATATGATCCAACCACAAACAAAATGACTAAGGGAGAAACACAATCATAAGGCACGAAGAAAGATACGTGGCCAAATCCCAATAAGTTTTATCACAAATGCATTATATCTTTTATGGAAACTCGGACTCTACAAATTCACCAACATGCAATTGAACATAAGCAGCCTGAATGCTAGTCCAGCACAGTATATGAAGCAGCAGCTTATAAGAGGGCGATAAACATACCTAGGAGGTGTTCTTCTTGGTGGGCTTCTATAGCGCCTCGGAGAATACCTGGACCTTCTATAACTTGAATACCTAGAAACACAAATTGGGCATGCACATTATGTGCAATTGCAATGCAAAAACAAAGTTCGCAGTCAATCACCACATGATCTACACTAGATGATGGTAAAAGAACTTGCAAAAAAAACAAATGACTTGCAATTACCTGTCACGATCACTTCGACCACCACCATAACGATAAGATCTCACAGGAGGAGACAAAGAAGGGGTTCTGTACCTCCGTGCATAAGAGTACCGCTGACTGAAACCCCGTCCTCTTCTAACGCGCTTTGGTGAGGCATCAGGTGAAACACTTCTTGACAAGCTCCTCCCCCGATCTGGTGATAAAGGCGACCTTACCCTACGCGCTACTGGGCTAGGACTCCTTGAATAGCTGCGATGGTTATTCCCGCTTGGGGCCCTCAGCGGACTGCGGCTAGCAGTTTTCCTAGAACGAAACCTACCTGAACTTCTGCTTGCACTCCTTCGAGAAGATCTAACTGGGCTTCTGCTTCTTGATACTCTTACAGGGCTTCTGCTTGCACTCCTTCGAGAAGATCTAACTGGGCTTCTAGTTCTTGAGACTCTTACAGGGCTTTTGCTTGCTCTCCTTCGAGAAGATATAACTGGGCTTCTGCTTCTTGAAACTCTTACAGGGCTTCTACTATTTGATTTGTGCAATGATTTTCTTGGTGGACTTCTGCTTGTGCTTGAAGCTCTGGCAGGGCTTCTGCTAATTGATTTATGTGGTGGTTTTCTAGGTGGACTTCCGCTTATGCTTCTTGGAACTTTTACTGGGCTTCTGCCATATGGTGGGCTCCTGCTTATGCTTCTTTGAGACCGGGCTTTCACTGGACTCCTACCCTTCCAGCCCTTCATTGGTCTTTTGTTGAAACCTCTGGCTGGGCTTCTACTGCTATCGCTTCTAACAGGACTCCTGCTGATGCTCCTGCTCCTTTGAGGGGGAGGAGGAGGGCTTCTACTAACACTCGAACTCCTGCTCTCACTCCGTTTGCGACTTAAACTTGGGCTCTTGGTCGGACTCCTCCTGGGACTAATACTCATACTCTTACTCATGGCCCTCTTAGGACTGAAGCTTCGGCTCCTGCTGATCAACTTTCAATAAAATACCAGATCTGGAAGAATCGGTAAGCATAAAGAATAACTGAGGGGTGACAAGAATGGAAAGAAGACCTAGATTTGCCTGGGTGATCATCAACTATGTCAGGCTGTCTATCTGCACTTTTGTCATATTTACCACCTGCAAGTCCATTGCTCTGCTGATCTCCATTCTCCTTAGGATATGCACCGTCTTTCACAAGCACTTCAGCTTCCTCCCTCTTCGTAAGGTAGATTGAAGCATCACCTTCGCCTGCAACAAGTGGTTGGTTTCCAACAGCAGAAATCACAAAAAACCATGAGAACAAAACACGCATCAATTAGTAAGACAATGAAAAACAGTGACACAGGTCGGCTTGGGGGCATTGACCCATTGTAAGAATGTCCTGAATCATCTCAGCTTAAATTCATTTTCCATTAAGCACAACGTTCAACATTAACAATCCAATGTCACAACAAAACAGATATTCAAGTTCAATCCACCAAAAGTAAAAATATAACAAGCTTGAAAAATGCAGGTCACATATGTGATAAGGATAGCTTTGATCCATTCATCAATAAAATGCTGAACCCCAGGACCCGTAGATATAGCAAACCCAGACACCAAATGCTATATTTACTAACTTTCTCCAAAACAAATATCAACCCCACCCACCTAATATAAAAACCTAATTTGCAAAAGGTAAACAAGAAAAATCTTGATCTAGAAAGATCATGCGAGCAAATAAACTACTATCATCTAGAAGGTGAGATAGAACAATTACCATAACAGATAGAACAATTATCATAACGGATGTACCACAGCTCAAGAATGCCGAAGAAATTAGTTAAAAGTACCAGATTTTTCAGAGATGTCCTTCTTAGACTTTTGATCCTTCCTTTTGGCGTCAAGGCCATCATCTTCACAGCTACTTTCACTTTTAATTTCACTCTCAGAATCAGTATGACCATGTGATGCCCTTGAGAACAGAAAAAAATATCAGCAAAGTGAGAATTTAAGTCCTTATAAAACCTATACCATTTCCTAAACAAGGTTTCCTATTAAAAAGAACATATTAGGAGAGGACGTTAACTACTAAAAAGGTAAGGACTACTAGCCTTACATGAGATACTGCTCAAGTGGCAAGAACATAAAAAGTATTTTCATGTGAAAGAGTCTGAACAATAAAGGTGAAACCATAAAATATTAAGCATACAACCTTTTTGATCTGATCTTAGATTTCTTATCATGCCGCCTTCGCTTTTTGTCACGCCTTTTATCCCGCCTCTTTCCACGTCTATGCTTGTCTCTTTTAGAAGATCTCTTTCTTTTCTTATGCCTGTCATCACTTGAAGAACTAGCATAAGATGATGAGGACACATCTGAGTCAGACTCACTATCTGACTCAGATGACTCAGATTCAGAATCTGAGGAACTGTCTGATTCAGATGAATCATATATCCTTCTCCTCCTCTTCCTTCTATCTTTAGAAGATTTTTTGTGTTTAACCCTTCGCCTCAGTTCATGACTATTAGCTTCCGAAGAAGCATCCTTCCCAACTTTCACTTTACTTGCTCTCTTTATCTCTGCACATACAAACAATAAATAAAAATAATAACAAAGAAAACGCATGGTATCAAAGGAAAAGTTAGGGTTTTGATAACCCTTAGATACCAATATTTTTTCATATTGCTGAGAAATTAAAAGACAACACCGAAGTAGTTTCTCCATAACTGTTACCTTCGTTATATTCGCCACAATTGATCACTTTAACTAATACAGTTGGATTCCCATCTTCATCGCCCGCATTTTCAATCTTTTTCAGGACCTCATGCCCTTGTGCAAGCTTCCCAAAAACTATATTCTTTCTGTACAATGATACACAACTGTAATTAGACTGAAGAACCCACAACCTCTCCTCAGATTTTTAACAGTCTGAGGAAATCATAAGTCACCAACAACTTTATAAAACTGCCTACTAAATGGCAAAAAGTAAGAATATTTACAAGCGAACAAAACCAAGTCTATAGTAAAAGAAAGTAAAAACAAAAAATATGAAAATGAAAGCATACCTGTCAAGATTACGATTAGCTGCAAAAGTGATGTTGAAATGAGAACCTAAAGAGTCACGAACAGCAACAGGCATAGATAGAAGGCCAGGTCCAGAGTGTTTGAGCACAGGTGACTCATCTGAAGCAAAGTTAACACTATTAATACTCAGAAGCATCCCCAAATTAAATAGCATTGAATTAATACTTAACTAGACCTGAGAACACGCAATTTCAAGATAATTCTACGAGTTCATAGACTACAGTTCCCTGAGTAGTGAGTATTACAATCCCTACTCAAGGAAGCTTGTGACAGTGAGACATGATCACAAACTTAAAAAAGTAGGGACAGAGGGTGAATAGAGCTATAACCATAGTTTATTGATAAGCAAGAGTTGTAATTTTGCTTATAGAAATATTGCACAGACATAGACATTGATGCAGATACTGTTGTCACTATTACCTGGAAACTTCTCGCCATAAATGCTTTCACCAGCTGTGCCTACAGAACAAACATAAAAGACCAGTAAAACTCAGACTCAAGTCACGTTAAAAGAGACCTTCCACCATGCTTTGGTATTACCAGGGTATACAGCATTACAAAAATAATGTCATCATTGGTAGTTTTTTTTAATATTAAGACAAATCAATTATTCCACCGAAAATTTAAAATTGCGGTTTTCAGTTTGATTAGCCATAAACAATTTCAAGAAATAAATATATCAAAACACCTGATACTGCCTATGCAGCCAAGATGCCCTTTATGCTTCTAGGTCAGCTCACCACGGATTGATCCTGGTCCAAGTCTAAAGACATTTGTGTGTTGGGGGGTGGGGGTGTGTTGGAAGGGAGTTGGAATTTTTTGTGTTTACAACCTATTCTAGTTATCTATCTCTCCGCCTAGTTCTATACCACTTCATTTTTAGCTCAAAGCGAGACCCCTCTAATTCTCCAGAGCCTTTAAATGACATAACTTATTAATTAAATCCTAAACCATAAGCCCAGGATAATAAGATAAAAGGCATTTGCACATACATAATGGAGCCATATTCTTTCACTGTTAACAAGAAACAATCAGAGTTATAACCTAGCAAACACATTTAGGACTTGATATCCAACGATTATACCAAAACTAGAGTATTTGGTCGACTCGGAATCCCAGGAGCACAAAGCAGCATCTGTATTTTCCAATATAAATTTCCTAATCAGCATAAATATAATTCTCTGTATTGTCGGTATATGGAAGCCTAATTGAAAATGTTTATATAACAGCATTTATCTTAAACAGGCTGCATTCTGCCATCTCATTTTTGGTAATTATATGTTCAAACACTAAACTCCGCTTGTGTAAGTTTATCTTACATTGCCGGTCCCAAGCCCGGATAAAGGAGGAGGGGGAGGGCGTCAAGTAGTCGACAGCCGGCACTCCTAGTTTACGTCGAATCCTTATGAAAATGAATCCAGAACGAAATCGCGCTAAACCGAGCGCAATGGCGTTCTAGGATTCACATAGCCGATCCCACTTAGTGGGAAAAGGCTTTGTTGTTGTTGTATATGTTCAAACACTACTATAAACATCATGCTTGAAAATAAGTCTTGCATAACCGAAATCAACCCTTTAATACTTATAAAATTTCTTGAAATTCTGTGCTTGTTTACTTGAACCAACTTACATCAACACTTTTTTTCTCAGTCCATCTTCAAGGAAATGGTGTTTTTAGTGACAAACATGAATTCAGACAAGAATGTGATATCGATTTTGGCCCATATTTAATGTGCAAGCTGGAATGACACATTAAATGTAATGGCTGCAGGAAAGAGATAATTATAATACTTACCATCTCTTTTCACAAAATCGCCACCCTGCAAAATGGACATCGTTCATTAACCCCTATAAGTTATAAAGGAAATGTGAATACAAAATTGGTTTGGGCATGACAAAGCTAGTAAATTTCAAGGATATACAACTTAGTAAGTACAACCTTAAAACTATATCACAAGAAAAGCAGTCGTGACCATCAGCCCTGTATCCTACAGCATAAACAAGGGTAACTGATAGACAAACCACTGCTAAGTCATGCTCAACCAAAAATTTGTATGGAGGACGAATCTAAAAGTAAGATGAGGAGGCATACCTGTGCGTTATAACCTTTTACAATACGATGGAAAAAGGACCCTTTGTAGTGCAGCGGTTTTCTACTTTTTGGACCGATTCCCTGCTCTCCTGAGTATTCAATAAAATAACAAATTTATGAGAACAGAAAGCCTTCTGATTTTAGTATGATAATGTATAATAACATCCCCAAAGAAGGAACAAAAGTGGAATCTCAGAAGCAATACAAGAAATTGATTATATGAAATGTTCATGTCCATAGAGCAATTCATGTAATCATGGTGGATACAGAATCCCATATAAAAAGTTAACAAATATGTTCTGAACGAAATGATATATATTACCTGTACATAGAGCACGAAAATTTTCTGCAGTCTTGGGAGCAACATCAGAGAAAAGCTGTAAAGCAATCACCAAAAAAATTATAAAGGTCTAACTCATTAGGAAATGCAAGAATTGTCACATAGCAGGAGCTGAGACGAACAACAAAATCCACATCATTCATTACGCAGTTTACACCGAAAGAAAATATCTAGACTGAATATATGTGTTCATGAACAGTACCTCAAAAACCATTCTTTCATAAGGATCGCCATCAACGGACACATCCATAAAAACAAAGGGGTTCTTCTTCTTCGTCATTTGTTTGTCTTCGAGAAACAAAACTCAAACCACTGATGTAAGGAATTAATTGCACCTCACTGAGCCAACCACAGTGATACTAATAAATTCAAAGATAAAACGGAAAAAGAAAAAAAAAAAAAAAAAACCTATTCAACTATTACTCAATCACCCCATGTACAAATATGATGCGTTCTAACTGTAAATAAGTATTTCAAGCGTCAGAAAAACGATCATTTTCACCATAGAAACCATTGCGGCTCTACCCAAAACCAACAACTAAATCCACTTAACAGAAGCAGGAATCTAAGCATGCAGACATATATTTAAGTCCCAAGTTACTAGTTAGATTAAATCTGATCATCGATCCAATGCAACTGTTTCGTAGGCAAACCCAGATCAGAATCTGCAAAAGCAATCCCTAATCAATAACCAAATCAAGCTCTCCTTAAACCCTAGCTAAATTTCCACAACCCCTAAACCCAAATGCATGCGCAAAACATGATAACTGCATCATCGAACTAAATTGAAAACATATTTCACTTTATTTCTCATCGAACTTTCCAACTAATGAATTTATGATCATATCAACAACAAAACTAACGAAAAAAAAATAACAGAACTCCAAATTTTCTACAGCAACCATGCACGTACGGAGCATAAAAATGCGAATAAATGGGGAAAAATTAGGTTTTAAATTGAGAAAAGAGGGGTGATGAAACCCTAGTGAGTTCACCTGAGAGACGCAGAGAGCCACAGAAAAGTGAGGAGACGAGATGAGAGAGTGAGGCCTGTCGAAAAATACCTAAACCTCCTGAGAAAATATATAAAGGGGTCTGGCCGCTTCTGCTGAGCGAAGTTACTGGACTGTCCCTGTTCTTCTTTGATAGTGGTACCTTGACAATATTGCCCCTCGTAGGTTTTAAATTTATTTCTTATTTTTTATTTTTATCAACGATGAATTTGTTAGATTAGATAGTCAACGGGGTTCGAATCTATAATCTCCTCGTGAGTTGAATAATTTCAATTTTTCATTTATAATCTCCTTATTTTTTTTTAAGCCGGATAAAATGTTATATTTTCATATTTGTGAAAGGAAAATTTTTGAATATTTCTTTTTTGGTTTCTGACATTTGTATATTTGCTTATCTTCATATTTATATCAATTTTTGAGAAAAAACAATCGTATTTATTTGTAGAGGTCTCTGTAGACCTGATTTTATTAGTAATTTTAGTTTTTTGTGTACCTTAGCGAATTTGGACCATTTTTGCTTGATGGAAACAAAGATAGATTTAGATAAGGCCCCTAGATGTTTTTATGGAATGTTTTTTTAATAGGGTTCATTGTGTTGCTTGCTTTGGAAAACTAATAAGTCTCGTTTGACAATTCGGACTGTACTGACTATTTCAGTCAGATAAGATAATTTGTCCTCGTTAAATTAATCGCACGTTTAGTGTAGAATCGAACTAAAAACTGACTATGTAGTAATGCATTATATTTTATGAAAACAATGTCCATACTAGTTTTAAGAAAAAAATTGTAAATAAAATGAAAAAAAAAGGAACAAAATTGATATCCTAGAATAATCCAGAAAAAGGGCATTGCCTTTCTTGTAGTTGATCTTCTGCAAACAGTCCGTTCTCGTTGATCTTCTGCACACAACCCAGAAAAGTTATGGGAATGGGTGTGGATTCATGGCAAATCGAGGCACCATGAAGGTGCGGAATGAAGCACAGCTGACAGTGAGATTCCGGCGAAAGGGCGACTTGCAAGTCGTTGGGTTTCAGATCCTGTTAAGGAAATCGATTAATTGGATTTACATCATGGTGGGTCGTCGCAACCTCATAAATAGAGCCAAGAAGCTTCATCTTCCAACCCTAATTAATTTCACAGAATAAAGAAGCATGATCGAACACTTCCATGGAATGTGAAACCTGGAGACATGCAGGGAGAGTGGAACTTGGAGTCTAAGCATTTCATGTGGGAATTTGTACCTGAAATTGAAGTATCTGAAATTTTCCACTCCAACAGTTGACACCATATGTTGGAATTCGTACAAAAGGGAAAGCACAATCATTATACGACATCGTAACTAAGAGCAACAGTAAAACATGGGAAATTCCTCAGAGGGTCAAAACATGGGAAATTTTTTAGAGGCGTAGACAACTCTTCACTGCCATCGCTGTTGCCATCGTTCTCTTCCTCTCCTTCACGATCGATGATGGGTCCCCCAAAGCAGATACAGCTCTTCTACAGCGACAGGTATAGTAAGTTCCGCAGGGACCAAAGGGCAGTCTCCATGTCGGAACTTGTAACCCATTGGTATCGGTGGTCTGCGGGCATGCCTGCTAAGGTAAGAGCTTTATTCTTAAACCAGCTTTTCGGAACTTCGGAAGGAGTGGCGGATTTCAAGTAGCATTTACACATCACCCATGTACAAAATGGCTATGGTGTTGGAATGCACCATTTAAGACAAGTGCACTAGATGAGATTGAATACAATCTATTACTATTGGATATTGATGCTTTTGATCGGACTGGAACATATATTTTCCTTGGTGGTTCACTTGATCGTACGAGTGGAATACTAATAGCTGGGGATAATATGAATAGGGATTATACATGAAGAAGATCAAAAACCTACGTACACAACATGTGTTCAAGGTTGCAAAGCAAGGAAACATGCTCAAAGCTCACTCTTGGGACACCAAAGGCAATGAAATTGCCTTAACAGATAAGAACTATCACATTGATTTATAATCAATTTTGTATTCATGCAATTCATGGTTTTTGTTTGGCAAAGAAAACTGAGAACACTGAATCACTAACATGGAAACTTATTTATCACTTACTTTATCACTTATGTCAATGAATAATATGAGTAAAGATTTCACTATTAATGTCGTGGCCTCATATTGACAAGGGTAATGAGGATTTATTGGAATTGTGTTGGTAGTGGATCGTTCCAATTTATGAGAATATGGAGAGAAAGTGGAAATGTTTCTATAACACATCATTTGGTTGCATATTGAAAAGGAAATTATTCTGCAAGCACTCATGGCTTAGAGCACTCTATTACTACATAAATTCATAATCGAATATCATAAGCCCGTCAGTTAGAACAAATCAGGGCCAAAGGCCCAATACTATGGGAACGTACAAAAAGTCACCTTGAGAAGACATTAATGCCCTCCAAGCAACAATGGGGGCATAAATTTATACCCTAGACATAAGAAGAACTAGCAAAAATTGCCCGCACAATGATGCGGGTTTCAAATGCAACAATATCTTGCAATCAGTAAATATGGTTGAGAAGCTGTTAATAGTAAAAAAAACATGTTGGCTAGGATAGTCAAATTTTATTAGTTTACTCCAAATGACTTCAACTTCTCCAAAAGGTTTGTTTCTAGACTCTTACATATCACTCAATAGATTTGTTAATTGGCCCTAAACTCTTAGTTAAAAAAAAAGGCAACTCTAATTAACAATTGCTAATCAAACTGCAAAAACAACAGAGTGAGCTTCAACTGTGTTCAAATTTCTGAATCAACAGATTCAAAGGTCTTGATATGCATTATTAACCAAAGGCATCCATTACATTTTAATAAAAAAATTCCCTAATGGACTGCAATTCAAATACAGTTTGAAAGATCAAATTCAAACATTGAAGCACTCAAACACTCAAGCAATTTAGGTAATGCTTGAAAGATGAAATTCACACACTAAAACCACTATGCAACAGATTCACATGAGTCATAGTAGGAACTTACTAACCAAAACTTTACCGCAGCCAAACGCTAGGTCCTGTCCATTAGTTAAGTAGATTTTACATAGCTGCATTGACATTGGAATAAGGGAAATAAATTAGTAATCTTAATTTTTTTTTTAATGAACTCAAAAAGATTTCCCAACTTGCTTGTTTTCCTTGCATTAACAATTATAAGCATAGAGGGGAATGGATATTTCCCAACAAATAATGCAAAAACCAATAAATTTTGTGGTTGATGTGTAGAGCAATTGCATCAGAAAATCAAACCTTGAATATCATACAACGAACATGGCTCTGCAAGTAGCCCACTTCAAGCATGATGGAACTCTGATCTGACTATCCCATCATGCCACCTATAGAAAATACCAATTGATAAAGAGTCAATATTCGATAAATTTATCTCACAATTTTTTTATTTAAACCGATTCTTTTTATATGGTTCATCACATAAGTGGTTTCTGAGAAATCCAAGCAACTAAGCTACTGGCAGGATTTGGAGATAAATCTCGAAACGGTATGCAATTCAATGACAACTGAAAGGGCTGAAAGGGAAGTAGTGGTATTGGTGATATTAGGATACAATAAAAAAAGCATTGAAATGTTTAGCTTTTAGTCTAACACATTTTTCTTCTTTAGAGAAGAGAGGCATGGGAGAGCAATAGGAACATTCTAACAGGATTTCTATAAACTAGATTTGTGAATGAATGTTGGGTTGGGCCACTTCACAACAGGTGCTCACTCTCACTCTAGGTTCCAAGTTCCATACATACATACATACACACACACACACACATACCAATATTATTACTTCAAAAAATTACTAATTAAGAAGAATAAGAAACTATATATATATATATATATATATATATATATATATATATCTGTGTGTGTGTGTGTACAATGGCAGCAAATCCGGATATTAGTAATGGTGGAGATCAGACTCCCAACGAATCAGATAGGTGAAAAAGAGAGGAAGCAATATGGGTCATACATGAATATGTACAGTTTTCCTTCTTCAACTAAAGCATTTAAATTCCTCTAATCTTCACCTTTTATAACCATAAAAACAACAATCCTAGATTTTGGGTTGAACAACCAGTCATGGATATCCCACATCAAATCCAAATAAGATGAATAAACAACTTAAAAAGCAGCAACATTGCTACTTGCTAGTCTTCCTGACACACCCGACCTAGAAAGGTCGAAGCATGCTGGCCATCACCGTGAGGTGACGTAAACATAAGGGTAAGTGATATAAAAAGTGAATAAAGTTAAACTAATTAGAACTAAACAGTGAAAGAATGCGCAAATCGTAGGGTGAACCCATTACAATTATTCAGAGCGTAATAGACAGTAAGACTACAGAAGAGTAGTTAAAATAACCAAAGTACACTTATTACATAATAATGATAAGTTCGTACGTCTAAAACAAAAAGGAAATGTCAGAACTGCCGAGATTCCTCGAGTGCCACAAAGAGTACAGCTATCTAGGTCCTGGAGGGGGGAAAAACAAAGTTGAGTGGGTCAGCAAAACAATGCTTATAAGAAAACATTTATCTTTGAATATACTAACCCCTCGCCGTAAAACAAGTATAGTTTCCTTAAAACATACTACATAGATATGTGAACGATAAATCAACAATACTATAACAGAGTTATAACCCAACATATGCCAAGATATGATGTATCAAATGCCACAATAATATAATCATGTGATAATCATATATAGCTAAGTGCTCATCCATCTAAGCTGACACACACAAGTCCGAACAGATAATTTCTAACACAAACAGGACTGGGTGTAATCAATATGCTTTAGTGCTATAATCACATGAAGGCTGGTGTAGAAGCACAGTCACATACAAGTCGGATTGTCTAATGCAATCTACCTGACATGACTGGCACCTAACTTGGATCCAAGGCGAGCGAACAGTGCAATGTGAACATACACATGAAGGACTGGCCCTGGCCCTAGGGCGAGTACTAACACCAGTGTAGCAAGATGAGCATGTACAATT